AACTTAAAGGCAATGCAGGATATGAAGAGCAGGGGACGGCTGGCACTTCCAAATTGGGAGTTGTATTATATATAGTGCAGCCTCTTTAGTATGGTTGAAGGAATGGGTGAATTTAACCAATAAGAGAATATTATTCTTAGAAGGCCATGACTTGCAGAGGGGGTGGCGTGCTTGTTTATGGGATATTGGGAAAACTAGCCAGAAATATTTTCACAGACACCTAATCAGAGATTCATTATTGACTAATTGGAAGAAAATACGGAAAAAATACTATTTAAAAATACCAATTTGGATCTCAACAATGGAGGTGACGATTCACCCAAATAATCTGGATATTACTAAAATGATTAAATATAAGAACCTATTGGATACGCAAGGAAATCTGAAATCGCGGCAAGACCTTCAAGATCGGGGATTAAAAATTGATCGGTGGGCATATTTTCAAATTCAAAGTAGATATAAACAGGACGAGAAAGAATTTGGAATTAACAATAAACTCCAGCAACAAGATAAAATTTTATTAGGATCAGGCAAAAAAAAAATATAACCAAATTTTATAATTATTTATTAGAAGTAGAATTAGAAGAAGAAATTGTAAAAGGGAACATGATAGCCTGGAGCAGGAATATAGGACATAGTATCTCCATAACAGAATGGGAAAAGGTCTGAGGTAGAAATAATAAAATTACAAAATCGGTATCGTACAAAGAAAGTCTGTTTGCCTGTTGCCTCCTGAAAAAGCACCTTTGGGGTTTACATGGGCTGCTGATGCTGCTCCCGGGAAAGTTCATCCGGAAGGTCTGCTTGAGTCTCTTTTCTCTTGCAACAAAACAAGATTTCTTTGCTTAGGAAACGTCTGAATCAGGTCTTAAAGTGAGTCAGAAGTTGATTCTGTATGATCTCCAAGGAGGGTGACTGGAAGGCTCTGCCAGGGCCCCTCCTCGTTAGTATAGTGGTAAGTATCCCCGCCTGTCACGCGGGAGACCGGGGTTCGATTCCCCGACGGGGAGGCCTACGTTTTGTTTTTAAGTTAATTTTTTTATAGTAAAATTTAGTTGGTCGCAGCCTTTATTTATTTTCTTTATTTGCATTGATGCATGAGCACCAGATGCCTCCAAGGAAGATTTAAGCAGAAAAAATGCAATTTTCCCTTTTTGCAGACTCGGTTGATAGAAAAATTCTGGGCTTGCTGGAGAAAGTAGTTGGGGAGGTTGCAATTTTTACCCGAATGAGGCCACTTCTCCAATCCCTATTTTAAGAGTCTTCCATTCCCAGAATTCCTTAGCCAGAATTCCCTAACTTGCTTGACTGGATGAATTCTGGGAGTTGAAGTCCATCCATGGGGAAATCTTGGAATTGGCTTTAATTCTTTATTTCCTCCTTTCTTCTTCTCTTCTTATCCGTCCATTCCGTCTTAGCAAAGAAATCCACGCCTGGTTTTCCTTCTAACCAATCCCTCTTCCATTCAACCGCTTTGTCTTACATTCACCGCGCATCGAACTTTTTATCCTTCCGCCGCTGCATTCCACAGAAGGCGGAGTGGATTAACTGCGTACGCCCCCTTTCTGACCGTCCCGCCTCCCTATTGGCTAACAAGAGACCGCGTGCACTCTAATGAAAAATAACCCCTCCCTTTCTGTTGGCGGAGGGATCCACGTGCGACGCCTATATAAAAGGCCGCCGCGGCCGGGTACGCAGTTAGATCAAGTTGCCTCTTGCTTCTGTGAATTTGTTGCTGTCTGCTAGGGCCCACTCGAGCTCCGCCGTAAGCCTTGATTGTTACATTTATGTCTTATAGTGATATGTTTTTTCCTGTACTTTCTGTTAAATTCGGTCTGAGGGAGGGTTAACTTTCTTTGGACGAGCCTCATTTGGAAAGTGGGGGGGGATCCTCGTTTCTGAGGGGGACTGAAACCGTGTAGGCGGGAAGCGCGGATTTTCACACGTTGCCCCTTCGTGGCGGCTTTGGCTGAAGGGGGGAAGGCTATTTTTAATTAAAACGAAGAGGAGGAGGAGGAGGAGGGAAGGGAGAGGAGAGGAAGGCCCCAACGGCTCTTATTCAACCGCGGACCAAAATGGCCGCCCCGGAAGCTGGGAAAGGAGACTTAGTCCCCGCCCACTCGCTTGTGACGTCTCCATTCTGACGTCGCACGCTTGTAACTCCGCCCCCCACCAAAGTCACCCAGTGCGCAGACGCGCTTTCTCTTGCTCTGCTCTTGGATTCTTGGGCCGAGAAGCGTAGGTAAAGGAGGTCGGTTGTGGCCTGCAGCCCCTCTCCCCACGGACCTTGCTAGATTTTTTTTGGGGGGGGTTGATAGGGAATGGGAGCTCATGCACCCTAAGAAGGCTCCCTTGGGGGTAAAAGCAGGGTGGGAAGGGGTTTGTGAAGGTCATCTAGTCGTGCCCTCAGCGGCCTGCTGGAAAAGCCAGGAGACCATTCTTGGAAGGTGAAGGATCTCTCCTGAAAGAACATGCAGTCCCCAAACTTGCCAAATTTAAGACTTGTGGACTTCAAGAGCTGGCTGGAGAATTCTGGGAGTTGAAGTCCACAAATCTTAAAGTTGCCAAGTTTGGGGACCTCTGATGTATGCAAGACAGCCTTTGTACTATGTATATTCATTGGTTTAACTGGATTAGGGGGTGGTCCAGCTCCAGCATATGAATCCTGGAGACTACAGTAAGGAAAAAGAAGCATGAAGGACCTGTTGTGGAGTTTTCCTTGTGTTTAAATCAAGGATCCTCCAGACTTGGCCACTTTTTTAAGACTTGTGGGATTCAGTTCCCAGAATTCCTCAGCCAGCCAGAAGTTTACCAGTTGCCAAGTTTGGAGCTGCCTGTTTTAAATGGAAATGTAAGCTGTTACAAGTTGACATTGGAAAAAGGAGCTCAGTTGAAAGCGTTACAAACTGGATTGACCTGGTTTCCTCTCTCTGTTTCCCTCTTTCCGTATTGCAGAGAAAATGCAGATCTTTGTCAAGACCTTGACTGGGAAAACCATTACCCTGGAGGTGGAGCCCAGTGACACCATCGAGAATGT